AAATGCATGTACCCATGAACCCTTAAATGCATAGTACCCATGAACACTCAAATGCATGTACCCATAAACACTGAAATGCACATACCCATTAACACTCAAATGCATGTACCCATGAACACTCAAATGAACATACCCATGAACACTCAAATGCATGTACCCATGAACACTGAAATGAACATACCCATAAACACTGAAATGCACATACCCATGAACACTCAAATTAACATACCCATGAACACTCAAATGCATGTTCCCATGAACACTGAAATGCACATACCCATAAACACTCAAATGCATGTACCCATGAACACTGAAATGAACATACCCATAAACACTGAAATGAACATACCCATAAACACTGAAATGCACATACCCATAAACACTGAAATGCACATACCCATGAACACTCAAATGCACATACCCATGAACACTGAAATGAACATACCCATAAACACTGAAATGCATGTACCCATGAACACTGAAATACACATACCCATGAACACTCAAATGCATGTATCCATGAACACTGAAATGCACATACCCATGAACACTCAAATGCACATACCCATGAACACTGAAATGAACATACCCATAAACACTGAAATGCATGTACCCATGAACACTGAAATACACATACCCATAAACACTCAAATACATGTACCCATGAACACTCAAATGCACATACCCATGAACACTGAAATGTATGTACCCATGAACACTGAAATGAACATACCCATAAACACTCAAATGCATGTACCCATGAACACTCAAATGCACATACCCATGAACACTGAAATGAACATACCCATAAACACTGAAATGCATGTACCCATGAACACTGAAATACACATACCCATGAACACTCAAATGCATGTACCCATGAACACTGAAATGCACATACCCATGAACACTGAAATGCACATACCCATGAACACTCAAATGCACATACCCATGAACACTGAAATGAACATACCCATAAACACTGAAATGCATGTACACATGAACACTAAAATGCACATACCTAGGAACAATGAAATGCACATACCCATGAACACT